GATGAGTGTAGGCACTTGTTAGTCATCGTAAAATCAACTCCAAAATCTTTTCCATTTGTTTATAGTAATAACAATCACTGTATCGATTTTCCAGATGATTAAGATGACACTTTCTTGGTGGCATTGTAAAGATTATATTACTTCCATAACACTTCTTTTTCAATATAGAGATATCGTGTAAGGAACATTTGATTTATCCTAGTATTTGTCAGCTCCAAACATATCGTTTTTCTGTTCATGATGATCCATAACTTTCATGCATTCTTCATGTTCTCATGTGCATAGAAAAATTATGGCAAAGAGATAGTTACCTTAACCACAGTCGATGTTTGATAATATGCAAAAAAAATTTAGCCTTGTTGCGATTTTGTTTCAATGTCAAAATTGTTTTTTTTTCAATCCTGATATTAGTTCTTGTATGTATCAATTGAAGATTTTCTTTCTTAATCTTATACACTGACTTTTATAGTCATTAACAGTTTTAGGATATTTTAAATTCTATATGTTACAATTAAAATAAAAAGCAAAGAAAAACACACCAGTTAAATAAAGAGAATTTCGGACAGCGATCATTCGTGGAACTTTTATGTGTCTGGAGCCATCACCATAGCGAAATGTTAATCTCAGCAGCCATCACCATTAACGTGACGATGAGGCGAAACGCGCTGTTTACAAACTGACTTATAGCTAGATCGCAACGGGAAGCATACGATGTTATAAGCCGCGGTATCGGGAACCAAAGCTTCGTATCCCACTGGAAGTACGATTCATAGACGCACTGATATCCCATCGGGGGAGTCCAAGGTTGTTGGCTGTCAGTCGGAATCAGGTAGGTGACACCAACCGCGTTAAGACGCTTAAGAAGGCGTTCAACGCTATTGGAAGTCGCCCATGTTAATAATATGCGCGTGTTCGAGTGAGTGCCACCGCGACGAATCAGATTATGAGGGACCAGAGGACCCCTCTCGAAAATACTGTTCCCCGAGTAACGCGTAGGTACTGGGGGAGGACCCGCGACAGACTGGACCCTATTTTCCGGCCTAGCAGCCCGGGCCCTACCAGCTGGTCTAACTGCTCGAGTTCTACCAGTCGACCTAACAGCCTGAGACCCGACAACCAGCCTAACGGTCTGAACCCCGCTAACTTGCCTTGGTCGCGGGTCGCCAAGTAAATCAGCAGCCACGTTACCATTATCCTCGCCTCTGAACTCCCTCTCTGAGTCAACGACTAAAAGTCTATGAGCTAAGTCGAGACCAGACGAGTCCCTTAATGCCTCCCGGTGTTCCAGACTGAAGTCGTCCAGCGCTTCACCAGTCGTCTCGTCCCGAGCAAAGTCTGATGCAGCAGCAATCCCCTTTCCTTTTTCGTCCTGCATCAATCTCTTTTGGGGACACATCACTATCGGCAGTACGTATATATCTTACAAACGTCTAGAGAGAGAAAGTAGAGAGAAGGGAGAGGAGAGGTACCTAATATCGCGGAGAAGAATGAAGAGAAGGAAAATCAAGGGCATATATATAGAAGGAGAGGTGCGATTTCCAGAGCCGCAATTATTAGGTCTACAAGGACCTATATGGGTTTTTCTTCTCGCAACCCTTCGAATTCCGCCTTTAATGGGCCGAGTCCCACAGGAAAAGTCCATCTCTCCGTGACCGTTCGAATTCTCTCTTGTGGTGTTTCATAATGATCACCGAGTAAGCAACCCGACTCTCCTCCTCGCGTGATCACCGAGTAAGTGACATGGCCTATGCCTTCGACTCATTCTTACTTCACCGAGTAATTCGTTCAGTATGATGACACTTCGAACACCAAGTAAGTAACTCAGTTACCCCATTCGTAACCTTCGCGCCGAGAAATTTACTCGGCAATTCAGTAAACTACCAAGTAAGGCGCATCCGCGAGCTTCCTTCCATGTCCCGAACACCCCATCTCATGGACCTAACAATCAAAATCCACTCTGATTCACCGAGTAAATCGCCAGCGGACTGGGGGGACTTACTGTAGGAGGTGGATTACATCTCTCCATCAAGGCCCAAGAGAGAACGTATTCGGCCCATTGAAAAACATTTCGGCTGGCCCGAGATCAGCAAACCGGCTCGGTACGATGCTGCCCTAGCCGAGTAGAAGCTGATCAACGTCCGTACAGATAACAAGTCCCGCTCCATGGGCCAAGCAAAGGCTCACTACAAAAATCCCGTGAAAGCGCATCATATTAGGTCAAATAGAGAGAAGGAAGACCAGCTATAATAGGGGAGGGAGGCACAACGAGAAGGAGATCCGAAAATAGACTGATTAATCGACAACTTGTACAAGGATTTTCCTCATATTTCCTATGTTGCTTACCGATAAGTCCGTACACCACCTCCGGCTAAGCTCTTCAAGCACCGGTTAAACTCTTTGTACTTTTCCGATTATAAATAAAAATCCTTCTCTTTTCTTGTACTCGTTCTCACCTTCGTAATAACCCACCAACGAGTCCAGTCACTCTCTTTACTGATACACGACCGAACTCGGTACAAATACCATCTACCTCTAACATAACCGACATCAAATATGAACATACTATTCCATCTTCTTTCCATGATTGCTCACGTTTTTCTTTGTGAAATAGCCATTAGAAATATGAAATTTACTTGGTTCATCTTTTAATGAATAATAATTTTCTGCCTTATATTCAGTTATTTTTGAAAACAAAATCATAAAAATTTACGAAGTTATATTATGTTTTTGAAACAAAAAGTAAAAAATAAATAAAAAGTTATTACATATCGAAACAATTTTTGTTCTGTACAATCGAGCCATGTTCACTAAAAAACACTTTTAAAATAGAGTTCTACTTACATGTATTAGTCTAAAATCCCAGTCCAGCTTTTAGGTTTTCATTTAATAGAGTTATCAAATTTTCATCTAAATAATGAAAGATAACATGAAGAGTTAAGATGATGACAAAGTCAAACTTCTTGCATTTCTAACAAAACTCGAAGAATGAGAGAGAGAAGTTATTGTCGTCGGAATAAATAATTTTGTTAAACATTGACAAAGAATCTAGAACAAAGGATCTTCGTCCTACTAGAGTTTATCACTCTCGTGCCGTTCCTCCCCATCTCTGAACCCGACTCTCGGCTTGCTCAGCCTACAGAATTCAAATTTAATGAAATGATCAACCCACAATACAAAGGTGGAAGATAACACAACGAAGATACATAGACCAAGTAAGATACCTCTTTGTTCCAGTTAGTGTAGTAGATTATTCCAATCAATATAAGTGTCTGTAAGCAGATTCCAGCTACCATACCTCCCCAAAATCATGAATAAATCATGGATTTATGTATACCATGATTTCGATTATTCATGATTCCAGCTACCGGTCATGATTTCGATTATTCATGATTTCGATTATTCTTACATACCTCCCCAAAATCATGATTTCGATTATTCATGATTTCGATTATTCATGATTCCAGCTACCGGTCCCTCATATAAATAAATCATGGATATATTATTAATGTTAGCTCAAAATTTGCATTTATGTATACCAATATATTTTAGTTAATCGTTTCTTTACTTTATTTGGTTTATATATCAAACCATATTTGTACACCATAATTTTTTAAAATAATATCTATTTGGTTTATTCGGTATTACTAAATCTAAACCATTTATTTTATTTTGGTTTAATTTTAGTTAGTTCGGTTTCACCTGATTGAACATGAGGAATTAATACACAGATAAGATAGTATCTTAATTCTCATAGAAAGATAGGAGTGAGAGAAGATAGTCATGCGCAAAAGTTACATCTTCGTCCACCCATATTATATATTTATTAGATTTTTAATCTAACACAACTCTAACATTTCTTTTTTGTTGCCTTCGAGTTGAACGAGCATTAAAGACACTAAAGTAGGTATGTCAACTTCCGTTCAAGGACAGTAGTGTCCACGGAAACCGATTCAGAAATTATTAAAAACATTGAATACTTACCTAATTTAAACCCATATTTTGTAAAATACTTATTTAGGACGGACCGGACCATCGATATTGTGAAATTTCCAAGCCCAGATTTAATCATTTATTTATTAGTTTCCTTTGCATATCTATACTATTTTTTAGGAAGTAAATTTACTGATTTATCATATTTTCCATGATTTTAGGTAATTTTGATAATGTATTATAATTTCTATTATTTTATATATAATTTATTATATATTTAAAAAATTATATTTATAGTATCAGATTTTTAGAAAATAAGATACTTCTTATATTTTATATATAATTTATTATATATTTATATTATTGTCTTAAAAATATGTTTTTCTATTAGAAATTTAAAATTATGATATATAAAATTATAGTTATTCCATAAGTAAAATAAATTTACACTAATAATATTATACTTTTAGAAAATAAGATAATTTATGTATTATGTTATCATCCCGAAAATATATTTTTATATTATATAATTTAAAAGTAAATAAGAAAATTATTTATTATTAATTAAATATAAATCATCACTTAAGCAAAATTATTTAATAAATGAATTTGTTGATTTGTTAAGTTATCTATGATCTTAAATAATTTTATTTATATGTCACTATTTCAATCATTTATATAGTTATTATATAATTAAAATGCATTTATCATATTATATTTTTTAGAAAATAAATAAATTATGTATTATATTGTTATCTTAAAAGTATGTTTTTCTATTATAAAATTTAAGATTAAGATATAAAATTTATAATGAAATATAAATTAAGTAAAAATATTCGTATAAATATTATAATTAAATATAAATTAAACAAAATAATTATAGAAATATCTTTTTAAAAATATTTATGATTTTTGAGTTATATCATTTATAATTATTTGTTTTTTTATTTGTATTTTTTAAAAACACAAATATCAATTAATAAATATTCTATGATGTCCATAAGTGCGAGCAAAACACTTAGTTCTATATATATCATTAAACTGATCTATTGATTTTGGTACCGACCACCCCCGTCTCCCTTCTCTATATTTAAACTCATACCCGAGAGAGAGAGAGAGTTAAGGCAAAACATCTCGCAAATCAAAAATGGGAAAGGATAAAACTTTGCCGTTGCTTCACCCTCGTGAGCCACCGGAATTCACTGAAACCAAACCGGGGTCAAGAGTATGGGCCAAAGAGTTCCGCCAAGAGTCAAAGCGGCTCTGGGAGCTAGCCGGACCGGCTATCTTCACAGCCATTAGTCAATACTCTCTCGGTGCACTCACTCAGACTTTCTCTGGCCGTATCGGCGAACTAGAGCTCGCCGCTGTGTCCGTCGAGAATTCCGTCATCTCCGGTCTCGCCTTCGGTGTCATGGTGCGTCATCTTTCACACGTGTCTATGTGTAGTTATATGTTGTGTTCCAATAAAGGCCACGCAATGAAAAACCATTATTCTTAGGGATTTTATTTAATGTTCGTTTAGATACAAAGTAGATATCACCCGTACGTTTTAATATTTATTAATCAAGTCACATGATTCTGCATGAAAATAAATGTCAGTTTATCGACTAAAGAAAGTTAGTTCCGGCCAAATTAGCAGTTGATAGCGAACTAAGTTAGTCGCAAAAGGGAACATTTAAAATGATTCGGCCAAGTAAACAAACCATTAATAGTGGGAGTTGGTTAATAATCCAAATTTAACATTAAAAGAAACTAGTCACAACTAGATTCAATGAGGACATTGTTGATCAACTCAACATACTTTTTGTATTTGAAAAAGGATTCTTACGTGCAATGATTACAAAATAGATCTCCTCATAGGCTAATACATTGAAATTACACATGATTTTTGCATTGTTAAATCAAAAGATCCTCAACTAGTACTAGAGAAGAATTGTTTTTTTTTTAATTAAGAATTTTTAACCGACACAGTATATATTTATAATTTTTATGTTTAATAATAAGTATAACGGGAACAGAGCAGGAATGAAATCTTGATGGGGTTATCTGTGAGAACCAAAAAAGAGAAGAAAATTGTTTTGTAGAGAGAAGATGGAGAGAGATAGGAAGAAAAAAGAGGAGAGAAAGTGTGATTTTTGTTAGATAATGAATTTTGGGGATTTCTTTGTTTATATAGGCCATATTTCCCAATCTAGATTTACTCATTTTCATATTTTTGTTAATTAGTGAAAATAATACTTTTCACTCAAACAAATTATCATGAACAAGAATTTCCCTGAACAAATTACGTGTTCCTGTTTGGTTTCTAAATAGACTAAAACGGAATTTGATGGGAAAGAACTAAAAAAAGCAGATGGGGTTTGAAAAAAGGATTTAGGTAGTGTAACATGAATCAAATGCATTTTATTTTGTGTTATCGAAGATGTTTATTTTAAAAATCCAAACGAAGATTTGACAATTTCAATTGCTTAGTTTCTATTCATATAAAAAGAAGGATGATTTTTTGAATAACCATCCTTAAGTATGGTTTTTTAAAGTTATTTGGTCTAATTTCCCTAAAAAAGAAACATAATTCAAAACAGAAACTTCAGCCAGTGACAAAGTGTAGGACACGACACGTTAGTCATTAAATTTTGCCTCGCTCACTACTAGACACGTTTCAGTCCTTGTTTCCACTTGTTATTTGGTTTATTGACTTTATACATAAACTTCCAATATTATCCCATCACCGAAATACAAAAATTCAGTAGTTTCTTCATTTCATATAGCATCACTTAGTTTTTTCTATGAACCCTATCGGTTGATCCGATCGGTCTTAAAGAAACGCACTTAGTGTTACTGGATTGGCCACCACACTGTCTGGCCGGAGTTTGGACTACCTTCCAACTAATGCAAGGGGATGAACCGATCATCTATTACGATACACCGTATAAACCACTTGGACTTTGGACTGAAATCCAAGTCCAAACTTGCCAAATAATGATAATTTAATTTCCAGGGAAAATCGAATCCATAACTGATATGGGTATACACCAAACCCTAAGAGATTATCAGTATGCTACCACCACTTGGTTATATAGTATCACTTATATTTCTATCTCAATACTTTATAGTCATTTCTTCTACTATATTAACATTATTTTACAAAAATAAAAGATAATAGCAAGTGTAGAATATAGCAATGACTTGTATACAATTAGGAGGATTGGTCTTGAAGTTGAGAGCTAAGGAGTTTGGCTTGCGTGTTCTTCTCTATCCATACACTCTCCTGGTCATAAAATTCTTACTCTTTTTCCTTGTTAAATTTTGTCCCATTTGGATTTTCTTAATAAGGTTTTAATGAGGAGAATTTTATGGCCTCTCCAAGCTTGATTTGTTCCACATGGTTAAGCTTGAGGGGGAGTGTTAGTGATAGTTTCTTTGGTTCTCTTTTTTTACTAAGTTGTAGAAGCTGTTGGTTTTTGATGTCTTTTTGCATAAGTTTGCATTTGATGTAAAAACATGTATTTTTCTTTTGAATTAAATTTAACATCCAATTCAAAAAAAAAAAAAAAAAAAAAATTCCAAAGGTGTAATAATGTAACTCTATAAAAAAAGTCTAACTTTTTTCCTACAAATATGACTCTAAAAGTGATGATATCAAAGTTGACCAAGAATGCAAGAGCTAAACAGTTTGAGAAAGCTAGCAAATCGCATGGGATCTTTATTCTAGGTTCTGAGAGATATTTCAGTCCCTTATTAATTTTCCTATGAATATAGCTAAAAGATGAAGGAACACTTGCAAAGAACATATGAATCTTAATATTGTGTTGATGGAAAATGTTTGCAGTTGGGAATGGGAAGTGCATTGGAGACGTTGTGCGGACAAGCGTATGGAGCGGGGCAGCTTAGGATGCTTGGGATATATATGCAACGTTCTTGGGTCATTCTTTTTACCACTGCTTTATGTTTGCTTCCTGTCTACATTTGGGCTCCTCCCATTCTTTCCTTCTTCGGCGAGGCTCCTCACATCTCTAAAGCCGCAGGTATCATTCCTAGTCAATGACACGTTCATACTTCTGTATGCTAAGCTTTTATAAGTTAAAACTTTGCAGGGCAATTCGCACTGTGGATGATTCCACAGCTATTTGCGTATTCAGCCAACTTCCCAATACAGAAGTTCTTACAGTCCCAGGGGAAAGTGCTTGTGATGGCATGGATCTCCGGGGTGGTTCTGATTATACACGCAGTCTTTAGCTGGCTATTCATCATACACTTTAAGTGGGGGCTCGTAGGTGCAGCCATCACCCTCAATACCTCATGGTGGCTTGTTGTTATCGGTCAGCTTTTGTATATCTTAATCAGCAAATCAGACGGTGCATGGAGTGGCTTTTCTTGGCTTGCGTTTCGTGATCTCTACGGATTTGTTAAACTATCTTTAGCCTCTGCTGTCATGCTCTGGTACCAACTTTTCTTACATTCCATTTATTTTATTTTTTTTGTTTTATGTTATTCATGATTTCGATTAGTATGACCGGTTTGTTGTTTGTATTCTGCAGTTTGGAGTTTTGGTACTTGATGGTTCTGGTCGTTGTCACGGGTCTTCTTCCTAATCCGTTGATACCAGTCGATGCCATTTCCATTTGGTAAAACCCATTTGTGTTATGGTCTATGTTTTTTTTTCCAATGAAAACTATGTTTTGAAAATATTTCGGTCTCACTCTCTTTTGTTTTTTTTTTTTCTGATTTTTGGTCTTTCACAGCATGAACATAGAAGGTTGGACAGCAATGATTTCAATCGGGTTTAACGCTGCTATAAGGTAAGGTTACTACCTTTTCTGTTACATTTTAGAGTCACATAAGAAAAGTTAATTAAAACTCTTATTGATGCTTTCAGTGTGAGGGTTTCGAATGAGCTGGGTGCAGGAAATGCATATCTAGCAAAATTCGCGGTGATAGTTGTCTCCATAACATCAACCCTTATTGGGGTTGTATGCATGATTGTTGTCTTAGCGACAAAAGATAGCTTTCCTCATCTTTTCACTTCTAGCGAAGCTGTGGCAGCAGAAACCACGAGAATAGCTGTTTTGTTGGGCTTCACAGTCCTTTTGAACAGCCTCCAGCCTGTCTTGTCAGGTAGGTACCTCATAATAAGTGGTGGAAATAAGAAAATCAAAGAGCATAAATTAGGATCAGTAAATAATGAGTTGTGGTTACTTTTGGTACATTTTTGTAGGTGTTGCTGTTGGAGCTGGGTGGCAGAGTCTAGTGGCATACGTGAACATTGCGTGCTATTACATTATTGGACTTCCTGCTGGTCTTGTTCTTGGATTCACACTAAACCTCGGAGTTCAGGTTAGCCTTGTCGAATTTTAGGTATTTAATTTGCGTTGCTCTTTTTTACAGATTGGTGCTACTTCATTTGTAAACTGTTAGGGAATATGGGGAGGTATGGTAGCTGGAATCTGCTTACAGACACTTATATTGATTGGAATAATCTACTACACTAACTGGAACAAAGAGGTATCTTTCTTGGTCTTTGTATCTTCGTTGTGTTATCTTCCACCTTTGTATTGTGGGTTGATCATTTCATTAAATTTGAATTCTGTAGGCTGAGCAAGCCGAGAGTCGGGTTCAGAGATGGGGAGGAACGGCGCGAGAGTGATGAACTCTAGTAGGACGAAGATCATTGGTTCTGGACTCTTTATCAATGTTTAACAAAATTATTTATTCCGACAACAATAAATTATCTCTCATTCTTCGACTTTTGTTAGAAATGCAAGAAGTTTGACTTTGTCATCATCTTAACTCTTCATATTATCTTCATTATTTAGATGAAAATTTGATAACTCTATTAAATGAAAACCTAAAAGCTGGATTGGGATTTTAGACTAATACATGTAAGTAGAACTCTATTTTAAAAGTGTTTTTAGTGAACATGTCTCGATTGTACCGAACAAAAATTGTTTCGATATGTAATAAGTAACTTAACAAAACATTTGTGATATCACTCAAATTACCCTAAGGAATGAATTACTCTCTCAAATAAGAGGTTCAATTGTAGTATTTAGGGATCGAATCCACAAGGAATTAAGGAACAAAAAAAATAAAATTCCTAGTGATTATGTTAGGTTGATTAAGTTTTAAAAGTAAATTGCAGTTGTGAGCAATAGTGAGTTGCTCAAGAGAACTGGTTTAGGTTTTAAACAATAAAAGAAAATAGTTAGATTCAAGGTTGCTATTCAGATAATCAGGATTATAATGCTACAGATGTCTTTATGAGTTGCTTGCAAGATATTAAAGAACTTCAATTCTTAGATAAGTCTATTAGCAATCGCTATCTAGACTCGTTCATTGATCTGACTGCCGGCAATATCGACCGATGTTTTGAAAGCGATATTGGACGATATAGGTAGCCGTCGATCGATTACTCTATAGGAGTATCGATCGATATAGCTTCAGATCGAATTGAATATGTGTTCACCAAGATCATAGACCGGCTCTCGCACGTCCCAAGAGGACCTTAGCTTATACTAGATGATTTCAGGATGATGATTAACAAATTAAATCATTCGATGATCATACTCTAGTTAGCTATTCTAGAGTAAGCATTAGGGTTCACTAGGATAATGAATATCACAACTCAACAATCCATAGTTGGGGCTAATCCCTCATAACTATTTGAACCTCAAATCTAACAAGTGAATCTACTCAGACATGGCTAAGTGATTCATAGCATCAAGGTAATAATAGAAATTCATAAGATTAGAAGATTGAACACTTGGTTCCTTTGAACAACAAATCTCTTTTTGTGTTCTTCTATTCTAGAACTCTATAACCTTATGATGAAAATCAGAATAATATGAAAAGAATACTTTTATAAATCAAAGAACTATGAGTATTAAGAAGCATAAAAAGCCTTAAAACATAAAAAGCATGTAAAACACAAAAAGCATGTCTAGCCAAAACACATAGGCATAACTATAAATATGAGTTCCATTAGGTTAAAAACTGGTCAGAGGCAATCTTGTAATATTGAGAGACTTGGGCTTCAAGTCGGCTGAGTCAAACTTGTTCTTCACGCTCGATATCGATCGATGGTACAAGGCGTACATCGATCGATGGAGTATCTCGATTTGTCATCTTCTACGGAAGCGTCATCGATCGATTACACAGAATGTGTATCGATCGATATGTATATTTGGATATCGACCTTGTTGTCTGATCTTCATAGTCATCTCGGAAAATCTCTCCTTTAAACTCCATAAGGGAACCTAAATCATCACTTTACTCCAAAATGCTCATGAACCTGAAAACATACCTAATAGACTCCAAAATATATATATATATATATATATATATATATATATATATTGTAAAATCATCTAAATACCATGGTTAAAAGTGGGTCAAAACCATGGTAGATCAACTGCCCCAGACTTAACCTTTTGCTTGTCCTCAAGCAAACACAATAGTTAGTCTTCGGAAGAAGTTTAAAAAGAAAACAGCAAGGACTCAATCGAATCTTAACTTAAGATCATCACCTCTACTTTGTTGCAAGCCACATCTCATATCTATTAACTACAGAAGTACATTATACCATATCCTAGCTTAGCAACCAAATTCATCTAGCCAATCAACTTAGCAATCTTGTTTGTCTATCCCCTCTACTGATTTCATTTATGCATAAAATAAAAGTGTAGGCTTTACCTTGGGAGTATCGATCAAGGAACACTTGGATTCAACTCAAACAAGTTTCAGGCATTCTCATTCTGGTTTCTTTTCTCCCTATATCTCCCTTCTCTGAATCCCAAATTTTTCTTTTTCTTTTATATCAATTCCAATGAACAACAAATGTTCATCTTATTGATCTTTCTACTTTTTGTAGTTTTTTCTGACAAAGTGTAGGCGGATAGTGGGGTCATGGGTAATATACCTCTCCCTCGCTTCCACAATGTGTGATCATTCCTTTGAATTAGAATAATGGGGTCATGGGTAATGTACCTCTCCCTCTGTCTCTCAGGAAATCATCTTAATCTTTTATTTTTCTCTTTTTGGGATGCCAAAGGAAGAAGAGAAGGAAACCAAAATTATCAAGACTTTTACCTTCCAGACTTGCAGGAGGATTCCGATCCCTTGTATAGCAAGCCCCAATACAAGCAATAAATGTCAGGTTAGGTTGGAAATCAACTTTGGTTCTTCCAAACAATCATGAAAAGTGTTGTCATAGGTGACCGGTGATCCACTTTAGCATCTATAGTACTTTCTGCAATTAATAATTCTAATAATGGTGCTAAAGAATGGTTAGATAAAAAGTAAAAATTTTGAAATATTTTTGTCCCCTTCTTGACTCAATAAAACCAATTTTGAAAACATTTAATGAGATCAAAAGGTAAAGTAGCATCAGTAATCTCCACTCCCCCAGACTTAAATCATACATTGTCCTCAGTGTATAACCAGTCGGAGTTAGGGCATAATTAAATAATGTATAACTGATATCAAAAATTGTAAACAATATACCTGACCGGAATTCGTATCGATCGATGGTGAGTCGCCTTCGTCGATCGTCATGGATAGGTCTGTGTCAAGCGATGTCGACATGATCGTATCGGTCGATAAAGGTAGTGATCGTGTAGCATCTGAAACTAATAAAACGAAAATAAAAACTAAAAATAATATAAAACTAAATAAGAAAATACCTAATAGTGGGTTGCCTCCCACTCAGCGCTTAGTTAAAGTCATATAGCTTGACTATGGAGGTATGGTGGCTAGTGAGGTGAGTTGCAGGTACTTGTTGGGAAACAAGTATCCTCCTTGTCTTGTGATTCTCCAAACCATGAAGTTAAAAAGCTTCTTGTGGCTTTCTCGCTTCTGGTCATACTAGCTTTCAACTCTTGGACCTCATCTTGGATTCTTTGTAGCCAATCCTCAAGGCTTGCAATGCTGAACTCATGTTGTCCAATCTTGCTGTAGGTTTGTTCTAGATCAATACTCAGCTGCATTGTGTCGAGGTGTTGGATAGGTTCACACAGGAAGGGGTAGTATCGCCCGATCTTGGTGTAGTTTCGTCGGTCGATTTGAAAGGATGCCTATCGGTCGATGGGCTGAATGGCACGTCAATCGATGCGGATGATGCAGGTCAGTTTGCGAGCTGTATCTGAATGTTTTCGATCTCCTTCTGAATTCCTTCAGTTGTGAATTCCAATCCTTGAACGTCACTCTGTACTGAGAACCACATCTTGTCAAGTAATCTGTATGCTTCGTCTCCACAGGCTTCAATAGCTCTGTAGATATCTCTTGTGATGATCTAACATCGGTCGATGTGCTGGGTGGGTCATCGATCGATAGCTGTTTCTGAGATTTCAGTTCTTCGCGAAGCGCATTCACTTCTTCTTGTAGGGTGTTCTTCTCTTTGCGAACTAATTCATGGGCAGTCTGAAGCCAATTGAATTCTCCTTGAAGTGATGATGTGGTTCTTTCATGTTCAAACTGCAGTGATGCCATTTCCCAGTTATGTTCACCAACTCTTCCATTGATCATGTGCGTGACCTCTGCTTGTGTGTAGAGCTTGCAAACTGGAACTCCTTTAGCAAACTGTTCAGCGTGTTCTGGTAAATAGAAACAAGAGCGCTCCATCAGTGAGGCTCTTTGCAGAAATTTCCCCACATCTTCTTTGGAAACATGTATGATATCTCCATCTACTCCTCTTGCGAAACCATTGTCATCTCTGTAGAAACCATATTCATCTTTCTTTTCCCACAAGAATCGACGAATACCGAATTTGAAAGCTCGTTTTCCAAATTCCCGATGTATATCGTTTGATGTGAGTCTCCACGTATCGATCGATGCTCGTTGAAATTCTGGATATGCTGAGTTGAGATGAATAGTTTCTGCACCATCTTGCTTGTCTGAGGTATCTTGAATTGTTTGTTGCTGGTGCTGATCTTCCGTATAGATGGGTTGCTGTGCGAAGGGGCTGATTGATCCATTGGTCATCTGAAGAATGTCTGCAACATCTTCTTTGGATATTGGAATGATTCTTCCATCCATTGCTCATGCATTGCCATCTAGATCCCTGAAAATACCAAATTCATCCGGAATTAGTAAAGTAAAATCGAAGTTATGTGTTTGTACCTCGGATGGTGTAGTGGTATGATCGGTCGATAGTATGGCATGTGCATCGGTCGATTGGTTAAGGAACCTGTCGATTGATTGATGTTGTTCCGTTTCGGTCGATACGTCTGCTTCTGGTTTAGTCGCATGTGTCAGTGGTGCTGTATCCACTGCAAAAATTTCGTGGTAATTGGTTACCCAATTTCCAATTGAGTAGTCTCCCTCTTGTGTATCATCATCACGTGGGACGTAGATTGGTACACGGTAGGGGTTGTCGCTTGGTGGTTTGAAACGTCTTTTGAGCAATCTTGGTTGGTGCATATCGGTCGATCGAGAATAGTCTCTATCGGTCAATGGTCTGAAGATGAAGGACGGTAGAGGAGGTATTTCATCTTCCCGAAGAAATCTGTACTCTGTGGCTCGTTCCTCTTCATAATCTTCATCATACTCCTCCTGAGTAGTGATACTAGCCAGTTCTGGGATGTAATGATCGTTCTCCCAATCATCTATGTGAAAGTCTCCGTCTAGAAACTATTCTTCGATCTCTTGGAACAGCCTGTCGATCGATGACCAGGTATGCTCGTTGGTCGACTCCGGTTGACTGGTATCGGTCGATGGAAGAAGGCTGCCGTCGGTCGATACGTCTTACTCTGTCTCGTACTCGGTCATTGAATCATACTTGTGGGCACATAAACAAGTTGCTACGAGTGTTGAACTCTCTATCCT